TATATATACATATATATATAGACACATAAGTATGCTAAGATTTAAGCAGAGTTACAGTGGTTAATTTTTCCTCCTTTCATCATAAGACCTTGCATATTACACCTTTAGCCTGACTTGATGCCTCCAGCAAGGATGAGGGGGTGACTGCTTTACAACACCCTGTAATAAGGAGGATATGCACTTATTTCCTTCCCATATCAGTTCCAGTCTTTTTTTACCCCTTTTTTGAATATAAATTCAGGTACAATTTCCAGCGATGGGACCCAGTTTATGAAATATGGATGTATAAAAAATGTTGCATGGCATCTGCAGGTAATTATCCTATAGACTGTGAGCGAGAGGCTAATCTGTTTCCTCAATCCCTCCTTGCCACCTCTTTCTTCCTTCCACAAATCCAAACAGGGATGATGTGATGAAGGATATGACCGAGGGCACCATTTCCAGAACAGATTTGGTTCCTCCCTCCATGTAGAACTAATTCAGCATGCATTTAGTCTACAGGGAGAGCCTTTCCCAAAGCGCCAAGACTCACACAATGAGAGTATAGCGAGTTCATCTTGGATTTTTTACAGACTGGATGGAATAACTGAGGAAAAGCAGAGTGCATGTAAGAATATAAAAGGGTATACTACAAGTTATGTCTTTTTTGTACAGCGGGCTATATGATGCTTGTCTGGCAAGCTGCTGATCATATCTTTATACATTTCCAAACAGTGCTGTCTCAGAAACACATCATAACATGTCATAATATATACAGTCTAGCTTTGGTGAAAAATGGGCAGTATTTTTGTTTTTTAAATCTTGCTGAAGGATAAGAAACAGCGGAAAAATGGTGAATCTATTACCAAGACGCAGACAGAGACAGTACCAGAAATCAACTCTTTGTAAACTGTACAGTCTGCTGAGATCAAAGCAAACGCGTTCAACATGCTCCCATTTGCTGCTCCACATCCGCTGAGGGCCTGGCAGAGGTTCATAGGGCCCTAATCCCACTCCGGTGCCTGGAAGCAGGGTTACGTACACGGGGGGAGACAAGGTGTGGCAGAGCGCCTGGTCAGGCAGATTCAGCACTGCAGCTGGAGGATGTGAACCTCCCCAAAGACCCCATAGTGAGTGAAAAGTTAGCAAAACCACGGTAGTCCACTTGTATTACATGATATACACAAAGGGTTGTGATATTTAGACAGCTGCAGTCTGATCAGTGAAAGATGAAAGTGTATTATCTAAAATTTCTATACCAAAAATAAGCATTTGCAAGATAGATTAAGCCCGACAGGTGCCCTATGGATTTACTATATATATTTTTTTTTAATTTACAGTACATTTTTTAAAGGAAGTTACTATAACATAATAGCTTTTTCTTTTTTGAAATTAAGCTATTAAAGGTCCAGTGTGTAACATTTAGTTAATAATGGTATTCATAGGTATGTTTTCATTAGTGTATAATCCCCTGAAAATAAGAATCGGTGTTTTTGTTCCCTTAGAATAAGCTGTTTTTATCTACAGAAGGAGCTGGTCCTCTTTTACAGAGTCCACCATGTTAACCCGCCATGTTTCTACAGTAGCCCAGAATGGACAAACCAGTACACTGCACACTGGCTCTAAATAGGGCCTTGCATGTTTTTTGTGAGTTTCGCTGCCACTGGAGTTTCTCCTACTTGCTTGGAAGGCTGAGCTGTATTTAAATTGGTTGCAATCTGCAATTTCAACTCTAGCTGGCACTAAATCCTACACACTGCTCATTTAAGTCAGCAAAAACTTGATAAATGTGATAGACATTATTAGAACTGTAGATGTACAGGACATTTTCACCCCAACCCTACTACTCGGAAGTGAAGGAATGATGTAAGCAGCCTAATGATGGTAATTTATGTCAATGAGCAATAAATAAACCGTATGTCTAGTTATCTAAAATGTGTTGGAATAGACTTCCACTTAGCTTTAACAAACATTGCAGAGAACTATTTCTCAATGGGAAAATACAGTCCCCGCCTGCTACACCTCTTGTAAGCTGATACTAACTGTTTGAACAGAGGTGGAGCCAAACCATGTATAATCTTGTACAATCTTGTTATCGATGCTTTCATCAAACCCGAAGTGAACAGGTGTATTTCATTGTATTCAGTTGTTTTTGTATGAGATCAGCATGGAAGCTGTCAAAGCCATAGCACAAAATGTAGCCAAAGCAAAATGTTAAGTGAATAATACTATACTATACTATTCTAATACAAACTATCATACAACAGAAGCAACACAGAGCTCGACATAGAGCTTTGGTTGAAATAATACGTGTGATAAACCACACATTTCCATCTGCATTTACTTTTCATATCACTGTGGTATTTTTGTTTCAGAAACAACAGTATTAACTTTGTAATAGATGTAATATGTCAGATAATGCAGCACTGAGTGCTGTGAGGGTATTTGTATTGTCAGATTATTGATTGTGTTGCACATGCTGTGCTGTGGTGATTCCCTGGCTTCAAAGGCCAAACTGTCGATAAGTCCTGCTCTGTTAAAGCACAAAGAAAACTTAGCTTCCACCATAGTGCATATCAAATTTTTTGTAATGTTTGCTCTTGTAGTTTCACAGGGATTTCCCTGAACCACATCAAACGACCACATCTTATCTGCTATTGTTTGTTTTGGCCCCAAATCATGGCTCCTTAAACGGATTTGGATATGAACAGGGGCATGTTGCAAAGCTAGTCGGAGGATTGAACAGTGGAAAGGTCTGGCGTACTGAATTCCTGAGTCGGCCTGAATTATGCCAGGTTTGACATCAGCAGTGGAAAGGAAGAGAGCAGGCAAAAATCTTTGGAGGAGTGAAGGCTATTTCTGGCTCGGCATGTCAAGTTTTCTACTTGATGATTTAGGCAGAGGCCTCTTAGCAGCATTTACAGTGTGCAGTGAAGTTGTTGTCAGGGTAATGCTGGCTACCACTGGAGGGAACCTATCAGTAGACAGCTGTGTATCTTTCATGGTCAGGGATGAGGAACAGGCCTTTTTCCCATCAGTATGGTATGTTGAGCTGCTATCATGAATTCACTTAGTTTGTCATGGATGGCTTAAACTGGGCCCTCTATTATAATGTCCCATCCTTATTAATAGTGTACATGTGGGGGGTAATTCCCACATGTGAATTAATAGAATAGGTTATTTTGGCTTTCTTCATTATTATTATTGATATAGCTATCGTAGTTGGGGTAATGGTATCATTAGTAATTGAAAACAACATTTCCCAAAGCGCAAGCTATTGCAGCAGAAGGTTTAAAGTAAATATACTTATGAGATGAGGAATGCTAAAGACGTGCCCAATAACATTACATGCACAATAACAACTTCTAGTGGACCGCAGCATCTAACAGAACAGACATCAGTTAATGTATATGTCATGACTCAGGGGTGCCTGGCAACAAATCAAGAGTGAATATTGTCTTTGTTTTTAACAAAAAAAGAGTCTACAGTCACACCAGTAGCACTCTGAGACAGTACTTCAGCACAGTGTTTGCAAGTACTGTTGATGGCCCCAGATGAAAACCAAAGTCATAACAATTCATGCTGACAGGGACATAAATGTGTGTAGCAAATTTCATGGCAATGCATCCAGTAATTGTTGAGATATTTCACATAAAACCACAAATTTTAACTTCGGGGTTCGAAGAAAAGTGGGGGGATTACGAAAGTAGTAGGGTTCATCCTCTGGGGACCATGAATATATGTCCCAAATATAATGGCAAGCTTTATTTATTTAAGTCTTGACCAAAGCGGTGGGCCGACTGACAAACACACATTGCCACCCCTGGATTGTCATTCCAGTTCTTTCCAAAATCAGTTTAATGACTACTTATAAGTATGATTGATACAAGGAGGAGGACATTTTAGAACAGGAACAGGGGAAATATTTATAAAGAATATGAAAAAATCAAGAGACACTGTTGTCTCTTGCTAATGCAAGGCAAGTATTTGGCCTTAATTTGAAAGAACAACGCTACATGAGTTCCAGCTTTTCAAAACAACTTTAGGAAGCGTTTTTCAGCAGTTCTGTCTTCCCACCGCCCTTAATCGACCCACATGCTCACAGTGGCCATACATGTGTAGTCTAATTGCCAGCATTAAAAACATGTCATCGGTATAACAGTTCAAATGTTTCAAGAAAAATGTTATGACTGCCCAGAGGATTGCTTGGCTAAAGTCCTCACTGACACACCCAGTCCCTTCTGCTACTCATTCACTGCTGCACAATTTGACACAAATAATAGAGCAAATGTACACTTAACCTAGAAACCGGGTGGAACAAAATACCACGGTCCAAATACAAAATTCCTCATTATCTAAAAGACAGTGTGATTTTATGCCAGTGTCAATAATACAAGTGTTTGTGGTGTAGATGGCCAGTTAAAATCTGACCAAATGGATTATATGAGAGAGCCAGCTGGAGGGAAGAATGGAAGAAAATGGCTGATGATAATTAAAATCAAAGCAATCTAATCAGCCATTGCTGTAAGGACATCACTCAGTCAAGCTAAAAAAAACGTAGTAGTCACTTACTAGCTAGTTATAAATGATGCATGGAAACCTTAAACTTTTCGCTGAGTACCGGTCGTCTCCGGTTTCCAAACCTGTATTTTGTTTCAAAGAGTCTGAACCACATTTTCCACTTACTTAAATGATAATTGACTTCTCATGACATCCGTCTCTATTCCTTTCTACCAAATCAGGTTTTGAATTTTTGGACTGGCTTCCAAAGAGCACATGATGGTTTTCATTTGGAAAGTCACAGATAAGTGTTTGAGATGGCAAATCATTCAGCTTCTCTTTTCATTTGTCTCCCCAGAAAATTAGGTGTTAAAGAGCACATTGTTTCCATTTTGCCCAAAAATGCTTTTCTGCTGAATTAACCATCTGCTCGTTAAGGGGGCAAGCTTAAGCCAGTTGTTTTAAATTATGTGTTTTGATGTATGTGTACTGCCAAGTAAAGCACAGTCCATCTCCTGTTATGCCCATTTAATAGGAACACCCTCACAGGCTCAGGTCATTACCATATGTCTTTCTTTTCTTAACCCTAACCTTGGTTGACCATCCAACATTTACATCTGCATGCCTCCGCCCTAAATGTACAGGTTATTACCATAAGCAGTTAGATACTGTACCTTCAGATCGTGGATGGTTCTTATTTACTGTACGCAGGCAATTTGAAGTTGGTCAAGTTTCTCATAAAACTAGACATACTTCTCCACTCTTCTCGGCTCAGTGTCCTGCGTGTGAACCCTGTCAGGACCACCTCAGCAGGGTGCCTGCATGGGCCAAGGTCAGGGTCCTTTCTACAAGCTGTCATGTGTTTAGTAGTGAAACTGTCCATCAGACAGCGAGCTAGTACACAATAAATACATACATCAGCCAGTAGTCTCGTCACTGATTTTGAAGTGCCTGGGAGCCAAGCATCAGGAAAAAATTTACAATACAACATTTTTTTTTACAATATTATCTATTCTATTATGGATATCCAACTAAACAAGCAAAGATTTGTCCTCAACTCTTTAACCGGCACATGTGAATTGGTGGAGAGCACAGAGAGGCCCTGCTTCGCCTTTGACCCCAACAGTACAGTGCCTCGGCTCCTGAGATAGCAGAATGGTCACGTTAAGCAGACCGCTAAGTAGTCCGGTGATCTTGGCCTTGGCTATCGGAAGAGACAGTGGGCCCCCCATTTACGTAAATTTATGGCCCCAGTCCTGGGGTGGGGTGCCCCAGATCCCAAGTCTGTTATCTGTTATAGAAGAAAATGTCTGACATACTTGGGTGGACGCCTGCTGCGTGCTCCCAGTCAGCAGAAAGTGAGTGTAGTCTCACAGGCTGCATAAATGTTTTCTGAATGTTGTAAGGTAGAGTGATTTACAAAGAGCTGCAGCTGTCTCTCCCCTGGATCTGGGGGGAAAGGGATGGGTGCTTTGGGTGGAGGGGTGTTAATAAGATCAATGGAGAACCAGGTCAAAATAGAGCCTGGGTGTCTCATTTGACCCATCCCAGTCTCCTATATTAGCTGTAATCTTATTGTAATGAATCAGATAAAGTCTATATCGTATCTTGATACTATGCATAGGAGTAGTTTGATTGCGATTGCTTTTATTTATGTCCTCGCTTATTTAGTGTATTTCTCTTTCTCTTTGTTCCCCACAGTGACAGACACCATGTCTCTAGCTCCATCCCTGTGCCGACCAAGTCTCAGCTTGGTGTGTCTGCTGCCTCGGATATAGGCTACCCCTGCCACACCAGCTCCCCAGACAGAGGCCTGAGGAAGAGGGCGAGCTCGGAGGCCGATAAGCCCAAATACAAGCAAACTCCTCCACCCAGCTACAACACAGTCATGGGTGAAGAGCAGTCCCAAGATGGCCTAGCCACACCCTCGCCTTCGACCAAACACCTGTCCTCCTCCCTTGACGCCGGCATGGCATCGCTTAACCTGGCCAAGACTATGGAGGCCACCGAAGAGGGAGAGCAAAAGGAAGAGAAAGGGGAGAGCGGGGAGACGGGAGTGGAGGAGAGTCACAGAAGCACTGACAGAGAGGCTGAAGAACTAGAACTAGAAAAAGAAGAAGAGACTGAAGAGCAACCAGCCAGTAGCACAGTTGCACCCGACTCTTCTACAGTGCTGGACACTGGTGAGGAAACAGTGGCCACTAGTCAGCACACAGGTGCCATGAACGGCTCTTTGGTACCAGAACAGGCGCCTGTTAGCCTGGTCCCAGAGCTGCGCTGCTCTGTAGAGCAAGCTGAGGAGATCATGGGCACAGAGGCCACCGGTTTAGGCCTGGGGTTAGGAATGGGGTTGGCGTTGGGACTGGCAGACGAGGCCCGGCTTGATGACTACCGCTGCATCCCCGTGGACCACGCTGTAGCTGTGGAGTGTGATGAACAGGTGCTGGGTGAGCTGGACGTCGCTGGCTTTGAGGAGTTCTCCAGGCGCATCTATGCACTCAATGAGAACATGTCCAGCTTCCGTAGACCACGCAAGAGCTCTGAGAAGTGAGGCAGAGGACCTAAGGAGAGAGGGAGGTATGAAAAGACTTGCACAGTGGGATTGGACAAATACAAGGCAGGGACATGAACTGAGAGGACAAGGGTGGGGTCCCCCACTCCTACCGCAGCATCAAAAATCATAGGAGCTATTCTGGAATAACGACCAATTTGCACTTATTGTCAACATTTCCATAATAATCTTTTAAATGAAACAAGTTAAAAGTGAAGTATGGGGACAGTAAGCTTTACTTTTATGTTTGATGCCAGCATTAATATATTTTTTTAACAATGGATGGAACAATGAACCGTTATTCAGACATTTTCATTCACAAAAATATTCGGCCTCAGCGTTAACAATCGCACTCTATGAATTAGTGTCCATTATTGTAGTCTGTTCCATAACGAGGGACCATTCATGTCAAAAGACACACAAACAATGTATATCACTTACACTTTGTTTTCAGACCCTTACAGCAATAAGAGCCCCCTACAAAACATCATCGTGTCTCAACTGCATTTAAGATTCACAGAGTGCAGCCTTATTAGCCCGTATTATAATGTTTCAATGCAGCAGCTGCATATCCTTTTCCTTATCACTGTACCTCAAGTTTCACCTTAACTAGAGAAGCTTTTTTGGACAGTGTATCAATTATATAATCATTAATATAAACATAAACAGAGATAAATAGTTGCAACTGGAAGTTTTATCATGTTGAATCATCACAGAGCCTGCTGTCCCAGTACTTACACCTTTGACTGTACAAGCAAAGGTTCAGACGCTTCACAAGCCTTCATTCAGGGTGCATGACAGTGGGTGTGTGCCGTAGGGAGGACATGATGTGTATGTGTGTGTGTGTTACACATTAGCATGTACCCACAGTCACACAATCACAGTTAGGTGTCCAGTAATCCCACCAATGACCTCTGACCTGGCAGGAGTATGCAACCATATAGCGAGGTGGGAGCTGGAACCGGTAGCCCAATCAGAGACTCCCTACCCACTCGCCATTCTCCACGCGGGGTCGAGTTTCTCCTTCAGGTCTTAAGATGAGGATCACAAGAGCGGCTGGTTGGAGCTTGCAGCACATGGCAGGGAAATGGTGCAATTGTTTTTCTGTCCATCTCCATGTCCTCTTTTCTCTTATTTTTTTAATTTTAATGTATCTCATCAATATTAACATCAATGTTAATGTTAAGTCCACTGATTCTCATATTCAGTAGACCAAAAATTTAATTCTGTGTCTGTTCAGTTGGAATGTCTCACTCAGGCTCGACTGTAAGTGTTAATAGTAAGTGTCTCGATCCCATTGTCTGTGATTTTGTCCTGTGTCTCCATGTTCTGAATGCTTTCTTGCACTGGTATTCAATTATTGCATTATTTATGTCTCTCAACAATTGTGTGTGCTATGTTTCAAAGGAGATCAATATCTAGTTTTATTTCCCCCACTCACATGGGATGTCGCTCATTATCATTGTCAGATGTTAGACTGATATCATAACCAGTGTCTGAGTCCTGACGTGGACAGCTGCTTTGCATCGCCCGCCGTGACAAAGATGGACTCTCCACCAGCAGCCCACTTTGTGATTCAGATCCAGCACTGTGGTTGCTGGCTGTTGAGATTTATTGTATTTAAAACTAAAAGATGAACCATGTTAGATCATTTCCATAAACTGCTATACAGTCCAGTAATTGACCATGTACATATACTTTTGTATGGAGGGTTTTTTTGTTATTAAAGACTTGCAGTCCAATGGCATGGATGTATGTAGCCCCCTTTAAGAGTGGTCTGTGTACATTTCTGTTGGTGAGGGTGTGCTCAAGTTTGCCTGTGAGGTGGTTACAGCCATGAACTTACAATGTGTGGAACATGTAGGATGTGATGGTTTCAAAATGGTATGAAAATGTACAAAATTCCTCTCCTGGAAACGGTTAAATTAAAAAAGTAAACGTCTTAGAGGCAGTGCTTTGAGCTAAATGCTAACATCAGCATATGCTCAAAATGTCTATGCTAACATTCTGATGCTAAGAAGTTATGTTTACCATTTTCACTATCTAAGTTTAGCGTGTTGGCATGCTAGCATTTGGAATGTAGATCTAAGCACAAAGGTAGCGCAGGGTTGGGGTAGATGAGGCCCAGCTCGAAGACTTCCGCTGCTACCCCGTGGACCGTCATGTTACTGTTACTGTAGGTGTATGAGGCACCGAATGGTCATTTAGACCATAATACAATACACGTGTTTTCAGTTATTCTGATTAGACCTTTGTTCAGGTTTAAGCTGGGTAGAGGTATGTTTGAGAACTTTCTCTGATGAATACTTAATGCCATCCAGTTTACTATCATATAAGACCGAGAAGCTGCAAATCATGGAGTGGAACCTGAAAAAGTAATTAGACAATTATCAAAATAGTTGCAGATTAATTTTATGTCAGTCAGCAAATGACTGAATCGGAACCGTCTCAGCTTTACCCCATGTACTAGAGCAGAACTCCGACAAGGCCAATAGTCCAGACTTCTATTCTAGAAATCGGTAAACCATTCACTTCGAACCGGTTGGATATTCTGGATGAATCCAGAAAAATCCCATCCACACCATTCACTTTCATTACGCATACACGAGAAGTCAGTTAATTTTTCCATGGGAATGTGATTTGTGATTTGCTCCCAAAAAATTCTTTCAACCGAGATTCACGGAAATCGGGCCAGCAGTTGTTCCGAAACTTTGCTGACGTAACGTCCTTACAGCGGGGCCTGGACACGGCACACCTAAATAGAAAGCAGCCTTACTTAATGTTAATTAATTTATTGTTTACACCAAAATGTGTCCTGTACACGCCACCACAGCCCTGACAGGAGGCCTAATAAGGTCAAATTAGAGAAAAACACCTGTGTGCTTGGACAAAGTGCAACTCGTACTGACATGTAAACAACATATGTTAATCTTTGCCATAGCTGATGTGTTCATGGCTTAGAACGCATTTTCGTCAGTCATTTAAGGACACAGGAAAGACTCCAGGTGCATCCTTCTTCCAACTGCCTGAAACACATAATCTGGCAGGTACGGGCTCTTAATCTCTCACGCTTTAATATGTTCCTCCCATCTGAAATAATTTATATGTAGCTCAGTTTAGTTTAGTTAGATAGAACCTTTTGTTCTTGACTGGTTCTTTATTTAAGTTTTGGAGACATGCTGCACCTGCTTATTGTTGTGGGAAATAGAAGTTGCGAAATATTTCATGGTACATAACGTCTCAAGCCTTGTTTTACTCCTCTTGCTCTGTAATATTTGTCCTCTAGCCAACACCTAAGAGAAGTAGCTGTTTTTTGTATTTTGGATAGTTACATTTATTTTATTAATTTGACTAGATATAACTTGAATGATCATCATAGGGAAACAGTTTTATTTTTGCGGGAACTCACTAGAGCAGCTTCAGTTGGTTTGCCAGAACGAGTCAAAGCTTTTACTCTTTATTCGCCCTGACAATGTGAGCACCACAGACCTTACATATATGTACACATGTGGTTGTACATGTGACTACAGTGCCTTCACTACTTCAAGTAAGCCCTTTTCTAATGAAATAAGCCCTTCTGCATTCCTTTACCTCATTATGCACTTAACTGAGTAAAAGCCAGCCTTTCTGGTGGTATTAGCGTGTCACTTTGTTGTCAGGGCTCCAGGTAATGTATCAATTTGTTCACATTAAACGGTGAAAAACAGTAACCGAAAGCATTTTAAGCATACTGTGAGCTTGTAATTCTCCTCTTGGTTGTTTCAGGCAGATTATGGTTGGCTACTATCTATATATGTTAGCACATTACTCACTGGCAATAAAGCTTTCTCTCTTAGAATCACCTGTTAGATTTTTTCATAGTCTCTCTCATTAGGAATTTCAATAATGCAGATGATTGCTGAATGTGTCCTTTATTACTCTGTTTCCAGATTCGCATAAAGCAGTTTCCTGTCCCTCGATCCTATAAGCTCCGTGTGTCACTCTGCAGACTGTCTGCTCTCAGCTAAGCCCCTACAGGTGTCTGAAGGCTTCAACGCTCGGCCTTCTGGGAATGACATTTCATCTAGCCAGAGACGGGACATTTGTGCCATCACGGAAGGCAGACCTGCTCCAGGCGCATAGCATGTGAGTGCATGTGCCTTTGCACAGGTGCACGACTTAAAACTTTGATAGTTTGCAGGTTATTATTGTAGTTTAAAGTTTATGAGAACATGAACCAAGGCATTGAGAGTGAGAGTAAGCAGGCCTTATTTCCTACTCACAAAGCCATCTTCATATTTTCGAGCTGAGTGCTCTAAAGAGTTCAGCACTGCTGCAGTGTATAGTCTGCTGTACTGTTCATCATCACAGGCACCTCACAAAATACACAACAGCCAAACCAGCACCACTTGCTGTCTAAGCCCCGGCCTCTGGGCTTTACACCACCATGTGTGTATGTGCATGTGTGTGACAGTAATGAATGAACCCTTACTCTCTGTCTGTACCCTCTAGCAGTGTCCTCATTAACTCTGATTATTGATTTAAATAGTCATCGGCAAAATTGTCCAATCCATCTAATCTTGATGACCGACCTGCGATAAGAGTAGAATCCATCTCAGCAAACATCATAAGGAGGATTAACAGCGTGCACGGGGAGGAGAATCGCTGCAGTCCATCAGCACCTCATTAATACAGCAGCCATATCATCTGACACACCGACCAGTCCCGGGTCAAAGTCATTCACCGTACTTGTCATTCTTAGGTCTCAGTGATACTCTATACCCCTGTCATTACCTGGTCTCCGTCATACAGTACATTCCTTGTGATTATTGCTGTGGGTGTCACTCATGCACTGTAATCCTGTTGTACTGCACATTTATTTTTGGAAATATGAACAAATGGGAGACAAAAGAGTCAAGAGTATTTGATGGCTGCATTGCAGTTTATTGTGATTAATGACTATCATGATTCTCTTGGGAATAACACCAGAGTAGGAAGAGAGGATATATACTGTCAGTGTAAATTACTCCTGTCAGTTAGTTTTAAGTAGAGGGCTGCAACAGAGTAAAGTCTTCTGATGAGAAGTAACATGTAGAAGCAATAGCAATAGACCTTTTGGGAAATATAAAAAGAGAGAGTAAACTGAGAATAGTGCTGCAGGGATGATGTTTTTTTGTAGTCCAACATGGATGTTAGCATTGCCCTGGTTCCATCGACAAAAAGCCAATGGGATTTTTCCACTGGATGTTGGATTTTTGCAGAAAATAGGCTCCGTGGCGAACAAAGGTTTATGATATCAATGTTTTGGATTCACTTTTGGAGAGCTGTCATGCCGTCCATTTTTATATATGCCGATGGTCTGGTATGACAAGTAACTTATGCAGACTAATGTTAGGTAATATTTAGATATTTATGCAGACACTGAATCAGGTGACTAACATTATGACTGCACTTGTGCTACCGTTCCACTACATTGTAGCATAAACCATTATGAGACATGAGTTTAGCTTAGCACAAAGATTGAAAGGGGCTAGCTCGCACTGTCCTACCATGACATAAATCTCACTAAGGAACTTGTTTGTTTGAGCTATACAAACCATATTCTAAAAACAAGTGGTTTTATGGAGGTTATGGTCTATTTCTTGGTCTTGTTGTTGAGGTTGCCCGTTGCCATTTTCACTTTGGGTTTTATACGGATTAAACTAATTAAATATTACATGGCAATTATGGTGAGCAGTTTTTTTTTTTTAAATCTTTGGACGGAGCCAGCCTAGCTGGCTGCCCTTGCTTCCAGTCTTAATGCTAAGCTAAGCTAACCATCTGCTGGCTGTAGCTTCTTATTTAACACAGAAATATGAGTGTGGTATCAATCTATCACTCAGTAAGAAAGCAAATAAGGATACAGGACATTAATTGACTTTGTGTTGGATGTCTCACTAAACACCCTGTGTCCTAACATGAATGGCATACATTTAAGTCTCATCACGGGACAAGAGGAGGGCAGGAGTCAGATATCAGCCTTGGCCAGCATTCAGCTTTATGGTTTAAAGGCAACACAAAGACACAAAGTACGTTCTCATTCATTAGCGAGTTGAGACCTCATACTGCGACTGTAACTCTTTATAGCTGGATTACAGTCATAATACAGGGGTTGGGGGGACTGCGTTACAAGCGTGGAGGGAGATGCCGCAGCTCTCGTGTCCTGTCTGAGAGCTCAGATCAGGCCCTGGTGGATCCGCTCACCTCGACCTGTCCTGGTCCTGGACTTGGCTGGTCAACATTGTGCTGTGACCTGGTACAGCTGTTTAAGCCATCTCAGAAACAAGACTATCTGCCTGGATGAAATCCCAGCCACATCTTCAGTTTTTCGGCAGTAAAACGTTGCTCCTCGCTATCACTCCTAGTGTTTTCTTTTTTTAAACACGAGCTTTCCCAGCCATTCAGCAAACACAGACTTTTATAGGGCTGACTTATTCTCCCCACATGCTCCAGTTGCACAGCCTAATGAAACGCAGTGGTGTCCAGCTGATTTCATTGCAGCAATATCAATATTAGGATTGGAGTGTGGTGAGTGCAGAATTCTGGGTAAAAAATAATATCACAATGACCATGACGGTTTTATTATGGACCTTGTGAAATTAAAACCGATTGCTGAGGACTGATGTCATCGTGCTCATATGAGGATTTCATGGTAAATTGGTGCTTGAAGACATTGTGGTTTTCTGTAATTACCTTTAGAAAGTTTGAATGACGTAATTGACACCTGACATAC